GAGAGGTCAAACACCGCCAGAAGCGCTTCATAGTTCATAGATTTAAGGCCTGCAGCCATTTTCGCAACAGCTCGTTGGACACACTCACTGAGCAGACAACTTGGCTGGCGTGTTCAAAAATGGTCTGACGTAAGCCTCCGTCTAGTATTTGGAAGTCCGCGTGAGTATTACGGGAGAACGTGTGCCTATTCAGCCGTGGAACGGCGAAAGCCATTTGAGCCGATTGCCCACAACGTAGTGCGGATAAACATTCGCAGCAAGCCAGACACCCGAATTCTTTTAGCATCTAGGATGTCTTCGCGACGTCATCTGCTACACGAAAAAGGCGTTCACTCAGGCCACTCCGAATGACATTTGGGCACACTTTTCGTCATTCAGAGAAAAGTGTTGATCCGACGACCAATGCTTTCCAACGTCTGCATCCGTTCATATGGCACTGACATTTTCAATTCGCCCGCAAAAAAGGCATGAACTAACGTCTGGATGGTCGTGGACATAGATAGAAACAGCAGTGTTTCCAAAACGGAGCCTTGGGGAACTGTTTTGGAACCCATAATCGGCTCGACGATTATTTTATACCAGTAAAAATCTAGCGCTATTTCACTACACGAGGTAGCAGAAGGTGTGGGTGGTAACACAATCGCTGCCCTGCTGTGCTTCCCCACAGGACCGCTTCAATGTGCTCCGCACACATTAGGTCGCCAGGATCCCGAAATATGGTGCATTGCGGATCTGCGCGTGGTGTGTTTCATGGGCATAAACCCAGTGTTGCTTCAATGCGGAGACGCTAGTTTCTTGGATCAGCTTAGCGTTTAGTAGCGGAGCTGTGATACACCCGGTAAACTTCACTAAACTCACAGCTATTCTGCCACCTGTTAGACGTTCGACACCGGTAAATACCCACCTTACGGGGGCAGGGTAATGATTACACTGATTTCTAGTCCAATGCACGTCTCTGGAGACTTACATGTGTTTGCGCAAAACTGCTTTCACAGATTTACAAAACGTCTTTCGACCGAAGAGGTAACCGGGGCTAGTACACTAGAAATTAAAAAGCTCAAACAAAGAGACAGTAATTATTCTCCCCAACCGTCATTTTCCCAAATTTTACACTGAAGCGCTCCACATCATTGCTTAGCCCAATTCCTCGGATCACTGGCTGACCGCAACATTATATACAAACCATCGAACAACCAAGCCTCCAGGCATGTGCGGTAACCGTATAGTTAAACGCGGTCTGGTATTCTGACTTCACTCTCGAAAAAATCACAACGGCGTTACGAAGCTTACTAAGGACTTTTTCTTCCATGCTCCAAAATCGGGATCTCCCAGGTCACCTGTAACTTCATCACTGTGGAAGACACACAAGCACAGTTCATGTCCAATGACCTGGCCCACTCTCCCAACTATCGAGAGTAAAATGCCAAAGCGTGATGAACTTTAATGCTACACCCGACGTTCCCAACACATTTCCCCATATGTATATGTCGCAGGTAGTTTTTCTGTACTGGCCTTGTGTAAGAATACATCACTGTCATTTATTCGAGCAATGCCCCTTTATTTCACTGGAAACAGAATTCCACCGGTGGGAAAGGTGGGGAATGAGCACCTGTACATCAGAGCCCGCACGCACTCTTCAGCTCGCACCACTTAGAAATTTCTGATAACAGAAAATTATTGTCCTGACATATCCAAACAAGATAGTCCAAAAGACGAGCTCACCTACCATCTAAACTCTCGTCAAACCAGTGAGAAGGATTGTTTTAATCATCGATGGGAGGCGGGTGAAACGAAACGCCCGGCCATATTTTCGTAATGACCTTCAGGAGTTATTTAGGCCGTCCTTGGTCCCTTGTCACAATGACAGGTGGATTTATTGCCGTAAGTTATTTTGCTCCTGTTGTTGTTTATTATTCGAGGTCTAATTTAGCCGGTAGTCGCGAATGAATGCCATATATCTGCCTATGTATTAGCACGAAATTTTTGTGAAGGATTAGTACACTGGGTCGAAGTATTTGTCGAAGTCAACCTCGTCGGATTGGTTGTTGTAGTTCGGTGTCTTTGTCTCACGGGAGGGGCATAGGTGACACTGCATTTTGTGGTGTCAGTGCTAGGAAGCACTAGCCCAGGTGCGTAATTTTGCTGTTGTCAAAGCTCAAAAGCACCGAAAACTTATTCGAGGGACAGTGGTCGTCTTTTTGGGACGTGCTTGTGGGTAACTATCTACCCTAGGCTCTGGGCGCTATTCGGCTCTCTGGTATCGCAGCATTTTCTCACAGGGTGTCAACTCCCTTCGGAATGTTCTCATTCAGGGGAAGTTATCAGTCTTGTGACTAATAACTTGCTGCCTTAAGGTCCATTTGAAGTGCGCTGGCATCGGGACTCAAAGGTATGTTCACGTTCCTGAGCGCGGCTAAGACTACCAGTCTGTAGTCCCAAAACTTCGCCCGTGCTCGTCTCAGTCACAACCAGGCTATGTTCATGGCGCCACCACAGACATCTGTAACACGAGGACTCGTATGTTTAACTGATGGCCTTTTGTGTATGTCTCATAATGTACCTCTTTCAAGGTACGATACATGTTGGTTGTATTCTGCAAGTCAACCTAACTTCAGTCCGTTGAGATGCGAATTCAACCTAATCCAGCTAGCTAACCAGTCTGCTCACACATGAATTGATTGATTTGCAAGAAACAACAGTGAGCGTCCGTCTACAGCGGGGTACACTGAAGGCGGCATTTCACTGCGGTTTTTCTGGGGGCGACAGTAACATGCATATACCGGTCCAGTTATCCTCTATCCTGTTGCGTTCAGTTAGCGACAGCTATGCACCATCGGTCCGTGCGTTTACGCTGTTAAGATGCAGTTCATTGGGTCCTTTGAGGCAAGCAAACAATTTTGATTAGTCGTAATCTGTAATAACCGGCCGATTTCAGTTCGCGGTGCCTTTGTTGAGAATATTCACGGGGCTTGCATTTGGCTAGAACTAGTCCCTTTTGTGTCGTTTCCTCACTTCGGAGATCCTTATGATGAAGCTTGCGGCTGTATGTAGGTGCCAAATGTTGATGTCCATGATGCCGGAAACCTCACAGTAACTAAGGGTGCCGACAACACCAACAAGAGGAATAATTTCCGTACACATGCATTGCTAGCTAGGACTCTGTTACTTGGTCTAGGGCACAGACGATATACCCTGGTCAACCCACGGATTCTTGTCTCCGTCAAACTTAGGCACATGGCTCTCAGCCTGCAGCTGGTGGCTTAAACTTCATAAACGATTGGATGAGATGCGATTCCAGGCTCCGGAAACTCTTATGTAAGAACCGCGTTGAGATTCTTGTGAATCTCTGTGGGTCGTACGATGATCCAGCGCACAGAGCAGCTAGCGTCAAACCATTGAAGTTGTTTCAGACACCGTCTGAGCTACGTCGCCCTGCGTGCTAACTGATTGTGTGATATACTTGACATTAATCTTCGAAATTATTCAACTAATCTAATGCCATATTCCATTACCTTACCCACCCCTCCACTGAATTCACCTGTTCAGCATCTTTTTGTGGGATTGGGAAAGTAGTGCACAGTGACCCTGTTGCTGTCCACACTGTCTAGCGTAAAGTTTTGTTTCTTGAGGATAGGTAGTTCGACATTTCTTCGTAGAAAAACCTATTTTCTTTCGAGGAGAATACTGTTAGCTTAGGCTGTACAAGCTGCTGTGCCTCTTGGACTGGATAGTTTTGCCGCAAATGTTGTCACTAACCGAGATAACGTCAGTGCATAGTGGGTCAGCGGCAAGTAGACATCGGGATGTAGATGTGGGTAGTTCTGCATGGTGCTTGTGGATGCGGGGGAGAAGCTTCTGACTACGATTACTCCTTAAGATGGTCGCTCCGGTTTGTCGGATAGTTAGATAAACGCCTAATTGATCAGCGTCTGAATAGACTTCGAGACTGCCCTCTGATACTCATTCCCTGTGATCTGGCGCGAGATGGTCCAGTGGTTGAAGCACGAATTTACTGCCTGGAAGATCCGTGGTTCGAACCCGACCTCTGTCTTTCAACTTCCCCTGTCTAGGCTTGGGCAACCTGGCAGTATCCAAACCCTCGTGCCTCCTTTGAGTGATACGACAGTTAAGCACCGAAAGGATGCTACGGTTGAATGATTTCTATGTAACCCTCGATCAAGCAGAGAATCATCGAATTAATCGTATAACGCAAATTGAACTGACGGAACAGTTGAACAGAAGGTTGATCGACGAGTGACGGGTCATTTGGAGTGAACCGAAGAGGAAGCTAGGCAACCATCCAAGCCGGCAGTCCGATTGTAGATCGCTCCTGTCAAAAGTCTTGTAAACAGCCACAGCACTTTTCAGATTATACACGCCGACATGCCTTGCACTGCCAACTCACTGGCCACTTATGGTGTCACCTCGGTTGGCAATGAAACGCCTACGACTAAATTGTCCAGTTCAGCGAACAGAAAAACAGCTAAACATGTTTTCACCGGAAATAGAAGCGTTTCAAGGGCAAACCCCAACTAGAATGTTCGGAAGATGAGAGTGGAATGTGCTGTACGTCCCTACACTTGCGAATGTTGGGTTAGTTGATTTTCCAGTTCGATAAATGCAACAGATGCTACTGACCAGCATGACCTGAAGTGAGAGTCCCATGCTGGTTGCGTCGTGTCACCAGAAAAATCGCTCGGGAAGAACGCAAGCGTTTTTCTCATTCCGGAAACCCGAATACGATATCCAAGGCCGAGCTTACGGCTCCACTCTCTAGGTGAATCTGTGGTTGTTAGGGCAAGTTGCGCTCGCTTTGATATGATTCACAGTTCTCGAACCGAAACTTGCCTACTTGAATGGATACCCGTAAACAGCTATCACTGTCACATTCGTTCAACTCACTGGCTTAATTGCCCTCGTTTATTGCTTATGCATACTCGTTAACCAACTGTAGCTTTGATCCAACAGGGGAAATTTTTCATCTTCAATTGATCACCTTCTTATCCATCCAGAAATGTCCGGATAATGTCCTGGTCACCGGATGCCTCTGTACGCAAGTCGGACACCAGTTCGTCAAGACTTTGATCTTTTGACCCATTCAGGTTGAACAGTTTTGTGTCCAACTGTTCCTCACTTCTGTTAGTTTTGTCGCATTTACCTCGCCCGGCGTCCTCCAATTGGCGAACAGTCATTGGGCCGTGTTGATCATGTAGCTGTTAGTTATCAACGACAAGGTTCTCTTCTTGATCGTCGGTCTTTCCGAAACATTCACTTTGGTTTGGGTCACATTGATCTAAATCAAGCCTTCTGCGTGTACAAACCCAAAGAGTAGTGCTCTGTCTTCTCATGTTGGGTTTACCACAATCCATCCGACACTTCCTCTACGGCTAGTAGGCTTCACTAAGGTTGTCCTTTCTGGTTTAGTCATCGACAAAATCATGGTGTGCACTTTCGAAGGAGCCGTATGCGAAACCGTCAAATGACTGACGGAGTGGTCTTGATAGACTTATTTGTCCATCAGGTATCCACACACTCTACTTAAACACGCACGGAATCCGCCCGCCTACGTCATCTTTGGTCTCAGATGTATTTCGCTGAGGCTTAATGGTCTTGCCTAACAAAGGGTTATGGGAACAGTGTGTGTGCGTGTGTGTGTGAGAGAGAAAGAGAGAGCAGAGCCGTGAGATTAATCAATCAATCAGTTCAGCCAGTTTTCCAGCTATAATCTGTGTACTATGGGTATATTGGTTCCAGCTGCTACACTTTTGATCATCAGAAAGTGTGAGAGTGTAGGACATATAGCCAGGTATTGGAGACGATGGCAGGTTCAGTTAATTCGGAAACTGATTAGCGACGCATCCATTCACAAGCGCCACTGACTGAGTGAGTGGACCATGTCTGCAAGTCTCATTAATCACTGGTGAGTTGAGTTCCGCGGTCCCCATCCAGGGTGGTGGCAGTTGTCGGTCCGATTCGGTTCATTGGCTAGTGTCTTGACACTTCGCTGCCAGGTCATACACTGCCCACCTATTAGTCCCGTCCACTCAGCACAGAGCTGAGCGAAAAGAGCCTCGCTAGGCAGACGGTCTTTTTATGCCCTAACCAGCGTAGCTTATGAAGTGTGAGTAGTTCATCTATCGTGGGAGAGTTCCCTCTCTTAAAACCATCTGGCTAATCAGATGTTCCCACCAAACCCAACCAACTCTTAGGAGAAACCGATGGTCAAACACCGACAACCTTCGCATGCTCCTGCGCGTTGGGGACACGTTCCTGATCCATAGAGCAGTTTGGATCGCACAGCCACAGTGTAAACTCTGTCATTAACAGACGAGCTGACGTCACGTCATGCTGTACATGTCGAAAGTTGGCAGAAACTGTCATGGCCTTCCCGATTCGAAAACTACTCCCATCTCCAGCAGTTCACCGCTCAGATAAGCAAGTTTATCGGCTCGTCCGCAACCATATGATTTGGGTTTGACCCCACACAGTCTTGTAGCATCACTCTACACTTTGCAGGTTGGAAGCGTGTGCCAAAGCGTGCATCAGAATTACTTAGGTTACTTAAACTGGTTTGGACATTGAAGGATTTGAACCAAGGAGAGCAATATCGTCCGCATATTCAATGTCTTTGGGTGAACGTCCATGGAGCACTCCGACCCCGAGATTTCAGAGGCAGTTTGAGAAATTCCAAGCAGCATATCAGTCACAAAGTTGAAGAAAGGCGAGAAAAGCAGTCTTGTACCACTGAACGCAATAAACTCAGGCAGAAGCCTACCATATACTCGTATCTTTTTTGAAGATTGGAATCACTGTACGGGCGCTGCGCTCCATTGATATTCTCTTTTCCTTTCGAATCTGAAGTATGGCCGTCAGACTGTTCACGGGGACCTCACTATCCTTTTTGAAGAGTCCAGGGTGCCCTGTCGCGTTAAAGGGGTGATATCTCATGCTGGATTTCTGCTGTTGACGGTGCACTGGTGTCGACGTTCCATTCAGGCCCGCTGGGTTCTTCCAGCGGTTGTGTTGAAGGAGGCCAACTTAGCCGTTTGGAATGTTCAGCCCGTCTTTCAAGACGACTATTTTCTGAGCGAATTACCTTGTCCTTTTTTGCACATAGTTTTGCTAACACTCGTCTTCTTTTGACCGGTTGATTAAATCAGCTAAAATAGGGCACCGCTGTTGCCTGCAGCGAGAGCCTTCTCCATCTCCTGGGCCCTGGAAATTCATCAACCTTCTATGTCATTTTTCATGTTCCGGATTGCGCGGTGTGTGAGTGACCTGTGCATGACATCACAGTGGTTGTTGGTGTGGCCTTCTTGGCAGTAATAAAATCTGATCTCGAGGATATCTAGTGCTCACTTAGTCGAGTCGGATGATCTGAACAAACATTCCTGAGAGCCAAGAGCATAGTCTCTAACTCGCTTCTATTCAGTCTCCAAGCAGCCTTCGCCATACTCATGACTGTGCGTTTTTAGTATCTTTTCTAGCCAGACCAGCTCGATCCTCGAGCTACCGAAAATTGCCGAAGTTGATGGATGGAGTTGCTCTGCTTTGGCACGTGTAATGCTGACGGAAAGCGAAGTGATAACCGTGCCTGCACAATGACGTGATCAGTATGACAGAAGGAACGACAATCTTAATTGAGGCTCTCAGTGGCTTCCATGGCCACATGGCCTAATTGAGTTCATGACTGCATTGCGGTTGATAGCCTCCAGGTAGAGCGATGTGAGCGTTTGTGTTGGAAGTTCGTACTGGCCGGGAACAGACGATGATCAGCACACAACTGAAGCAGTCACTCCCCATTCATCATCATCATCATTATCGACAGCTTGACATCAGTGTTCAACACCGATACTTCACTGCCATAGGCTCTCCATTATTAGTACGTTGGGCATCGACTCCAAATCTATCCCCTAATTGTGCTCCCTCCAAGCTCAATTGTCCAAATGGATTCATATCACCCATCATGATTACTGTATCCGTCCGTCTCGCTGACCGAATCAGTCGCGACAGATCTTGAGCCTACGCCAAGACTGCACTACACCAAGACGATCGTTTACTGGGATCCAGTCAGATAAAGCACTTTAAGTCTTAAATTGAGTGTAACTCCCACATCGTAGATACCGCGAGCCATTGCGTCGGGAGCACCTAATATTCGAAGAATGAAATATGGAACATTTAAGCTCGTAAACGGTTTGAGGTGCACGACCAAAGTGCGTATTTCGGAAACAATATGCACCGACAGTAGGAAAAAGCAAGGTTTCAGCAAGAGATGCTTGTTGCCCAATTTAACATAGAGTACGGACACTAAAGGCTGCAACTTGGATAAGATCTCTTGAGGTCATTTAACAACATTTTTTTAAATTGTTCTGGGCGATGGTTTAGACACGGAACGTTATCGGCAGCATGACATCGGTGTTCACCACTAATGCTTCGCTGCCGCAGACACGGAGCAATGGCTAGAGGACTGGTAGATGGGTTGATTGCACTGCTATGTTGGACGGGTGGAAAGGGGGTGAGCTGGGTGGTTGCTGAGCTTCAAGGGCAAACGATACTGTCTGGTTGTTACGAATAGAGTATCGGTTCTGATT